AACCCGCTTCACGTTTCCAATTGGCTGCCGAAGACACGAGAGGTAGACCTTTAATTCCGCCGGAGTAAAGCAACTACGAAAGAGAACTATTTGTGCATCTTAAAGGTATGAACTGCTTATTTACTGTATATTTTGTGCCATGTGTTAAGTTAACTTTAGACATTGTGTGCATGACGAGTTAGTCAGGGTCATATCACTTAATGTGCGACATCATTAGCAGATATAAAGTTAGTGTCCGTGACCCAGTTTGTTTATATTATATTCGCACGTTCGGACTTTCCCCTTAATACTATAATTTTATAAATGTATTATTTGCAAACTTTAAATAGCGAATGATTATTAGCAGCAAATGACTATCAAAGTACAACATTGTTCACAGTCAAATAAACAGTGTTGTTGTTTTCAAGTCACCCATGCTAATACCGATAGAATATTCAAAGTAACATGGTAAACAATATAGAGACTTCTAAATGAATGACTGTGGAAATATAAAACCAACTTTACCTCTGTCTTGATTGAGGTAAAGATGGTTTTATATTCACACATTCGTTCAGTGACAGCTCCATACATTGTTTACCATGGTACTTTAAATATTTGGACTGAAATCACATGTACAGTAAGTATGACTTCAAAACAACATTAGCACTATTTAATCGACTGTGAACAATGATGTACTTTGATGGTTGTTGGCTGTTAATATTATTTTACTATTTAGAATTTCCAATTAATAATTTTCTGAGATTATATTATTAATGAGAAAGACTGCATGTGCGAATATAAAACCATCTTTACCTCTATTTAAACTTGAGCTTGTCCACTGTAGACTATTTATTATTATTGTTATTATTAGTAGTTGTAGTAGCAGTAGTAGTATTAATATTATTGACAACATAATAATTGTTATGGTATACTAACCAATAACAAGGTGGTCAGTATGTCATTAGGGACACTTTTGGGAAGGGAAGTAAACTGTGTCATATATTTGACAAAAGATTAAAAGGGCAAGGTTAGCTTAACATCACAAAATATTCAATATTAGGTTAGTACTTTGTGTTTCAGTCAGGAATGTTTTGACTATGCAGTATTTTTCCCACAGCATCGATGCTTCACAAAAGGATGGATAACTGGTATGCCGTAATGATGGTCACAGAAATCCTAAATGAAGGCAGTAGTTCTGTTTCTGTTTACTACAAGGGATATCTTTCCAAATGAGGAAATTACCCACAACTATGGTGATTCTTCTTGGCCATGGCATTCAAGGGTGAGTGTGTGCTCTCTTTAAGACTGTTTTCTATTATCAGAGGACACGTTTGTTGTATTGTGTTGTGAAGAAATAACTTAATTGCTTGTGCATGTTTTTATATTTTTGTTCTATTCCTAAATGCGCACACAATAGTTGCGTATGTGACAGTAGATAATTACACTTTGGTTATTATTGTTTCTACTTATATTAGTAGTGGTTGCCACTTTGTACATCTTCTTCAAAAAGATTAGCAAAGTTCAAAAACATGCACATCATGGAAAGAGAAAGTGAATACAGTCTGTATTGAAGAGAAAGTAAGTTAACACTTCTTAACATGATCTGAGTTTACATCCAAAACTGCAAATGTAACTTAAGTGATAAAATTAAAACAATGCATTAAAACATTTGCAAACAATCACCGTTTCCATCAAATGGGTCAAAAAGAATAAAATCATCTTTTTGCAAATATTTTTGCCTTAATCTTGTGTTTTTTTACTCACTTTTACAGGAATTGCATGAAGCATCATTGGTGATTGAGATTGAATGCAGTATAAAAACTTCCATGTCAGGGAAAGAGAAAGTAAGTGAATTTAAAGAGCGCCTGTTATGCATTATAAAAGGTCATATATTTTGGTTTTGCAGTCTTTATCAACAGGCTGATCTGCATGCAAGGTCAAAAACACTTTTATTATCCTAAAATATGCATTTATTTTTACCTAATTATCGCAGTGACTCCCATATGATTTATTCAGCGATTCATTTGTTTCCAAACCCCTCCTTTGCGTGAAGCTAATCTAGCAGTGATTGGTCTGATGACCCAGTCTGCTGTGATTTGGTCGACTGCGTTCAGCATGAGGCGGAGAGAAACACCCACCACGGTTATGAAGGAGCCACAGTGCAGAGTATATGTGTGGGCACTATGGAGGAGTGCATTAAAGTATTGCAGTTAAACACCAACATTAGTAACCATAACCCCAAGTAATAACAGTGACAAACATTCAGTATTAATCCACACAGTGGCAAAAGTTGAACTATTCTGAAAATTGACTGCAGCATATGTGTATAAACAGCTGATTGTGCCCATAGCAATGGCAAACAGCAGGGGATTGTGAGTTCAGAAACTCATTTAAATCGGTAAAGGAAGAAGCAGGCGTTGAGTTTTAAACATGGTTTGGACACAATAGGTAAACAGCCCATACAGATTTAACCTGAGAGATATAGTACAAGCACTGATCTATAGTAGATGCGTGATTACAAGCTGTGCAGGGTGATTACAAGTTACAACACACAATTAAATACATATTTTGCAAACTATACAAAATGCGGCTACTATTTTAATCACATCTACAGGTAGTGATCTGGAGGAAGAAGAAATTGGTCCATATGAACTGTGAATGATTTATAATAATCACTCATTTATAATGTCACTCGTGTAGCCAATAGGATTATAGCAAAAACTAAGCACTGTGCTCAGCCATAGTTCATTAAACTTGAACCTTTGCTTCACTGAGATCATCTTTAATATAAGATACTCTTTAATATAATATGACTTTCCTGAATTTTAAAGCCTGAATACAAGCACCACAACTAAAAGTTTGACACTAGGCTATAAACGAACTATACCATGATCGTCACCTCATCACCATCAACCTGTTCACTGTGAGATATTTCATTTTCAACAGCACCTGTAGTCTCATTTAGCAACTTCTTAGCAACCAGCTTTACAAAGACACCTAACAGCTTTAAAAAAATCACAAATGTGGTGTAACTGGTGTGTTTTAAGTTTGAGTTAACCATACACTACATAATTTTAGGGATTTAACAAATATGCCATTCCAAAAAAATTACATTAAAAAGTTGGAAGCAGAAGTGCTAAAACACAAACTCGCTTCTGGGTTTTTGTCTACAGGGATATCACAGTTCCACCACTCTATAGGGGTTGGTTTGGTTATTTATTGTCTTTTTAGGCTCGTTTTATATCTGCATTCACTGCCTTTCTGACCCAATCTTGTGCCTTTCCTTTTCATGTTTACAGCAATTATGTGAAAAGTCATCAATGGCAATGATTGAATGTGGTTCGAAAAATTTCTACATCAGGGAAGGAGAAAGTAAGTGAATTAAATTTTCCTTTTTGATAAAGGCCAGGTTTCCATCTAAAGCTGCCAATGTAACTTGTGTGGAAAATTGAAATATTCCCAAAACATTTGTGAACAATAATCATTTGCATCAAGCTAGTTAAAGACAATAAAATCATCACTTCACAAATCTTCTTGCCTCAATCTTGTGTTTCTTTTTTTCTCTTTGACAGAAATTGCATGAAGAGTCATTGGTGACTGGGATCAAATGCTGTGCGAAAACATCCACATCAGGGAAAAAGACAGTAAGTGAATTTAATTTCCTTCTTGATGCTGACCATGTTAGAAATGGAGGTAGGGATGTTTTAGTACCACTTTTTCCCTTCCCGATACTGATTCTCATACCTGAGCTCAGGGAATCAGCCAAAAGTAAGTACTAAACCGATACCTGAGTGGGTATCTGTAGAAGCAGTTGTGTATAATACTAGCCCTGTTTATCCATTAATAAAATGGTACAAACACATACAGCAAACTAGGGTAAAGTTTTACAATATAACTGTATAAAAACAGTGCAAAAAGAGATATAAAAAATAAAAATGAATACTATAGAAAAATAGCATCTTTGTATCTCAATATTCAGAAACTTAAAAAAATATAAAAATAAAAAGACACTTGTTGATTTTAAAGAAAATTTAGAAATTTATTGAGAAGGAAATATAGCCTAAACTTATCAACAACAGATTATATCATTGTCATACTGTATAGAATGCCCGTAAACAGTGTAGCCCGTAGACTAGTTGACGACAAAGTTGTTTTTTTTTTTTCATTTAGATTGTTTCATCTGTCAAATGAAGCTCTGTTCTTTACTTTTATTTAAAGTATAGGCCTAGGATTGCATTACTTTGCGTACATTTTTATAGTTTATAAAGCTATAAAATGAAAGTCTCAGTTTGGTGTGGAGTTATCATATGCATAAATCATTTAAGTCAATCAGCATTTGTTTGATTTGTAGATTAGGCTATGCAGGCTATTTTAGAAATGGATCTTTTATAAGGACTATTATTAACTGTAATTCTTCAAATGAAGAAAGGTTTAGCTATTTGTTGATTGTATTTATGATGTTGCCGTGTTGAGCACACTCAGAGCAAGTGAAAACCCCAACGCTTCGACTTCCACTTCTTCTTTCCACTGCTTCTTTCTCAACTTGTGCAAATACATGAAGGTGTTTATGATGCAGATCCAGGACAGAGGCAATCACCAATAGCGTTAGTTTGGCATCAACTTGTCTGTGTCAAACTGTGACAAGTCTTTTCACTATTTTTATTATGCTTCTTTTATCAAAATATGTCTGTAGGCACGTGTGGTTGCACATATTATAATGAGTTAACAAATAGCCCTATGTGTTGGAAAATAATAGTACATTTTAATTGTTTAACTAATACTATAAATTGGTTAAAAATGCATCCTTTCAGTTAACGGTTAAACGATTAATATGAATATCTCTAGTTTTCCTTCTGACCCCCATATTTGAACACATTTGTTGAATAGAGTGGTAGGATTATGATGTCACTTTGTAGACAAACCAGCAGTCAGCATCACGCTGGTTCCTTTGACAAAAAGCCAATAGGCAAATGTAACTTATGTGAAAAAGTAAAATAATGCGTTAAATGTTTCAGACAATCACTGTTTCACTCAAATGAGTCAAAGAGAATAAAATAATCTCTTAGCAAATCTTCTTGCCTCAATCTTGTGTTTCTCTTTCTCACTTTTACAGGAGTTGAATGAAGAGTCATTGGTGACTGGGATCAAATGCAGTGCGAAAACTTCCAAGTCAGGGAAAAAGACAGTAAGTGAATTTAATTTCCTTCTTGATGCTGACCATGTTAGAACCTCAAATCAGAAAAGATTGGCACAGTATGGAAAACACAAATAAAAAAGAAAGTACTGATTTCTAAATTTACTTTGATTTGTATTGAATTGCAGATAATCCAACAGACATTATTTAATGTGTTTAATAAACACATATTCCAATTTTGGTTCTTGCAACATATTTCAAAAAAGTAGTGACAGGAGGTTAGTGCTGTCATCAGATAAAATGGTTAAATGATGTGAAGTGAAACAGGTTAAAGAGGACACAGGTACTGGACTGGCCTGTCTGCAGTCCCGATCTGTTTCTAATAGAGAATGTGTGGTGCATTTCCAAGCATAAAATGCAACAACAAAGACCCCGTACTGTTGCCCACTTTGACTTGTTTGCAGTAAGAATGGTACAAATTTACACATGAAACACTTCATCACTTGCTGTCTTCAGTCCCTAAACATATTTTTAAGTGTTGTAAAAAGGAATGGCAACTTTACACTATATTTTATTAGCAATTTCCATACTGTTTCTGATTTGTGGTTGTAGAAGGACGGTTGACCATCATTTTAGGCTGTTTTTCCTGGGCAGTTTTTCTCAAAAATGTTATTGCGATGACTCTCTTTGAGTACAATATACCCCTCTTTGTTAATTTATAATAATGACTAGTGTATTGGGGGATGGGCATGACATGGTCATGAATTGTGTGGACAGTTTGGCCTTGTGAGGACACCCATGTTTTACACAATTGATGAATAGAGTTAGGTCTGTAATGAGTTCACTGTATAGTGTTTTGGGGGATGGGCATGACATGGTCATGAAATGTAAGGACAGTTTGGCCTTGTGAGGACCCCTATATTTTACACAATTGATGAATAGAGTTTGGTTGGTTATGAGTTCACTGTATAGTGTATTGGGGGATGGGCATGACATGGCCATGAAATGTAAGGACAGTTTGGCCCCCATGTTTTACACAATTAATGAATAGAGTTTGGAGTTTATGCTAACCGTTTGCTCTCTTGTACAAAAACTTAAATAACAAATCAAATGAAATTGTAGATGTTGTCCATGCATTTTTCATCCATTTGCTTTTCCCTAATGCCTGAAATTGGCCAGGTAATAGTAGTTCATTAGTTAAGTGTACTTACTTAGCAAGCTTTCTGACCCAATCTTGTGCCTTTCCTTTTCACATTTACAGGAATTATGTGAAGAGTCATCAATGGCGAGGATCAAATGCAGTGCAGAAACTTCCACATCAGGGAAAGAGACAGTAAGTGAATTTAATTTCCTTCTTGGTATGAGCAGAGTTTCTATCCAAAACTGCAAATATAACTTATTGCAAACAAAATAATTTCGTCTTTGACAATGACAATGTTAGATGTAGAAGGGTTAAGTGCCATTTTAGGCTGTTTGTCCTGGGCTGTTATCTCAAAAACGTTGTTGTGATAACTCTATTTGAGTAAAATAGACCCCTTTCTAATAGGGATATCAAATTCCACAAAATCCTGTGATCCATGATCATTTAAATTAGCGATAAATTATCAATTAATCATTAATCACCACTCCATAAACACAATAGATAAAGTTTGGAATGTTTTGAAGTATTAAAGAAATCACCCAAGCATTTTCCATTTGGAGACTTGCAGTAATTAATACCTTAGTTCTTATAAACAGTCATTTATAACATGCATAATTAATGAATTTGTTACTGAAGAATAAAAACAATACACACTATGCTCTTTGCATAAAGATCACTGCAAAATAAGCTTAGTGCTTATTTTATGTATAAACTATAAATATAAAAAATAAAGAAATTAAGTAATGGAACATTATATGTAAAAAATCTAAATATATATACAGTAGTAGGCTAGGCTAAATAAAGGTGCCTTAAAGCTTTTGTGAAGAACAGACTATATATGATAGGTGACACAATCTCAATAAACACTTGGTGCTTGATCTCATATAGGCTACATTATTTAAGGACATTCGATACGACATTAATAGGATCTGTTGATGTCAAACTTATGTTTCCTTTTTAATATTAAGACATTTCCTCTGTAATGCTACTATTATCCCTCATCATCAGTAAAATAACCAGCCTTTGTATTTCATATATTTTAAATGTAGATTTTCCTGCCAGTTTGATGCAGGCAAATGAAATTTAGGCAAATTTTACTTGTTACTCTTTCACCTGAACACGCCACGAGTAAGATGGAGAAAATGAAAGCACATCAGCATAGATGAAAATTCAGATGCTTAAGACATAATCTGTAAAATAATGACTTATTATAAACTTTGTTAGTTTTAAAGTTTGTAGCAAATATAGGACAGAGGTTTGGGATAAACCAATTACAGTAGAGCATTAATTAAATCCTTATTTTTCAGGGAGTGAAACAAATCAACCAATGCAACAGGCATGAACATAAATGTACACTTCATATATTTTTCTTGAAAAATAATGTACATTTTTGTTGGTCAGTTATCTAGAAAATAAAGAATGAATAACATTTGTGGTGAAGTGTTTCAAAAGAAGTACTGCTATTCAGACCCAAAACACAATTTTTTTGTTAAATAAATAAATACAATAATAATATAAATAAAATTCAAGTAAAACATTCTCGTTTCAGGGAAGCCTACATTAAACTGTGTTCACGGTTAATGACAAAATAATCCATTGCGCTGGCCATTATGACTTTAATTCATTTCATCAAGTAATTTAAAAGAGCAGGACAGACTTTACAAGCTATTCTGAGCACTAATTGTGTTCACAGATTACCTAGAAAGAACAAACTCGGTCTGAAGGATGAGAGAACTCATTGTGAGAATGGAGAGGCTCACCGCATGTCGGGCCGTGATGCACGATTTTTAAAATTAGAGTCTGCATGCACCAATTCGTGCCAGTCTGTCAGATGAAATTGCTTAAAACACCTTAACATTTTAAAGAAACTAGTTAAAGTTTGCATAACCAATGATTGATCTTATCCACCCGTGACCCACTCATAATTAAACATCACATAGCCTACTTTTTGATTACCTGACTCAGGAAGGCAGCACACACATATATAACCAATCAAAACAGGGTTATATACATCCACCCCACAGAACATAAACTGCACACACTCGATTATTTAATGTGTGAAGTCATGGACGAATGTCTCGCAGCTCAAATCATAACTTATCCTTTAATGTCCATGCTTAATCGGACATCGTCAATAAGGTCTGTCGATTAAACAGGTTACTGACAATCAATCGATCAGTGAGTAACTGTTAGCATCCCTACTCTCTATTAATATATAATAATGACTAGTGTTTTGGGGGATGGGGATGACATGGTCATGAATTGTGAGGACAGTTTGGCCTTGTGAGGACCCCCATGTTTTAACACAATTGATGAATAGAGTTTGGTCGGTTATGAGTTCACTGTATAGTGTATTGGGGGATGGGCATGACATGGTCATGAATTGTAAGGACAGTTTGGCCTTGTGAGGACCCCTATATTTTACACAATTGATAAATAGAGTTTGGTCGGTTATATGTTGGCTTATTTTACATCTGACAATAAGATTTTTGTCCAACATGTACAATAGAGATGCACAGATCAGCTGAAATGGCACCTGAATCCGCAGCTTCATACTAATTAGGGTTGTGACGATGAGGAAATTTCCCCACCGGTTAATCGACATGTGACAACACCGATAATACTGGTATTTTTTTTCTGCTTTTTCCTCTTTTCTTTCAGTTTTGCGGGAATTGCCAATTCGGCGTCTATTGTTTGAATGGACGAAAAGGAAGCTACAAAAAAAAATTAAATCACTGTTTTTAAACAACACAAAATTTTATTAACATAACGAATAAAACACAACAATGCTACAGGCTGAAAAAACTGGAAGTTGGAACCATACAAATAACAACCATAAGCGCCTATATTAACAGCTTAGTCCTTAGTCCTAAAATACATTATTAAGGAATCTATAGGCTATTGAAGAATAAACCGAATTTGAAATATGATCCTTGCATAATGATCACAACTCAACAAGCTGGCACTCATTTTATATATAAACTATAAATAAAAAAAATTATAAAAAATGTTAAGAAATGAAACATTATGTAAAAAAAATGTAAAGACTACAGGCTAAATAAAAGCGCCTTGTCAGAGCTAAACATCAGCGCACACGTGTCAGTTTACAGCTTCTGTAAAGATCAGGCAGCCTATACAGATCACACAATTTCAATAAACAACATGTAAATGTATAAATATTTCGATAAGTATTGTTATAGAATATTTATAACTTATGATCTTGCTTTTTGGTTATATCGGTACCAGCTTTGATCTCTCTTTAAAGTGGCAGTTACAGGCGCTGCATAAGGGCGTCTTACACTGTCAGTGGCAGAATACACACTGCACTGGCAAGACGTTTTATTTTTATTTTATTTGTTGCAGATTTGCGTGTTGTTCCTTTTTAAAAAATATATTTTATTTTTAAAATCTCTCAAGTTAATGTTGTCTATCGAGTAACATAATCTCCCTCGGATTGGAGTTCGGTGCGCAGTAAGATGGACCAACACCACCCTGTAAGTTAACACACTGCATACTGTAGGTCCACAGCTCTGGTGTGGTATGAATTACATGTTTTAAATGACAGCGAGACATGCTACATTTAGTTTTTATTGTAAAATATAGATTATAACCCAGTACACAGTAAAATAATATTTTTTAAATTGTTTGCCTATTGACGGCGTATAGGCTAACCGTTAAACTTAAATAGGCTGAGCATATTTTTATTAATATTAAAACACATTACAACAAACTAGCCACCCTTTGATTTTTTTTCGTTTACGTATATTTTTATCAAACGAAAAATGCAATGAATAGTTTATTTTGGTTTTCATTTTATTAGAAATCATATCATTTAAAGGCTACACAACTCCTCCATGGCTCCAATTGCGTTTTGACAGATATCCTAGATATACTTTCTGGCTCAAAGACATTTATGCCTGTTAATTTCAGCGCTGTATTTTGACAGATTTCGCAAAGGCTTCAGCTATTCTACCTGTCAGCTGGTACCAGCTTCAGTTTTGCGACCTGACTCGTTAGGCATCTGTGTCTAGATGACAGCGAGAGAGATGAGATCAGACCTCAGATTCAGTAACTGAGACGTGTGGCCGCACGTCTCAGTTACTTTATTGCAATTTTTAATATTGGCTCATCTAAATTAACTTTTCATTTATTAAAAGCCGAAATATTGCCAGACAGACGAAGCAACTTTCGGTTTTTGAAGAGAGCATTCTCAGTGATAAAAGACGCGCACACACACACAGGTTAGCCTACACTCTTGTCGGCCTATTCATTGTTGATTGTTGCTCACGGCTGTTGCCGCGATAGTTGCTTTGTTTCTCTGCAGTTGGCTTATTAATGGCGCGGCATAGCTAAATCACTCTTGTTTTAATAAAAAAAAAAGATAATTTATTAAACATTGTGAGATGATGGTTGCGTGATTTTTAAAATGAGATTATGCGTTGCGTATTTATGGCTATTGATCTTATCTACCCGCGACCCGCACATACATTAGTTGAACATCAAGTATAAGTGTGTTGAAAATGAGTGTATAAATTAGTTAAATTTCCTCCAACTGCTGCTACCTTTGTCAGGCACAGTTTGCAGATTGCCTCATTAACGACTTCAGGTTCTCTTTTTGCATTTGGTTTGAACCCAAAATATAGCCAAACAGGCGCTTTTGCATTGCGTTTTGACACTTATCCGTCCGCCATTCTTTCTGTAAATTCGACTCCTCTCGTTCTCTTAATGTGATAAATGAAGTATGACGCATTGTAACTATGTTCAGATGATAATTATAGAGCATGCTCTCGTCTTAAGTAAATTATTTAGAATTATGTTTCCCATTTAATTCAAATAAATATTTAAATAAAAAAAAAAAAAACGAATACTTAAAAAAAAAAACAAATGTGGGGACGGTGTCACGGTGAAAATGTCACCGGTGTTTCGTCTTAAAACCGGTATCACCGTCAACACTGTCTATCGTGGCAAGCCTAATACTAATCATCCACCCGCCACCAGTTCGCACATATAGTTTTATCTGATATATGTATCCGCACCCGATCGTCACTTTAATAATTTAATTCTTTGTTTTAGACATGATGATAGGTCACCTTGGATATTAACAGCAGATTCATTGAGCTATAATCTGCACATCTCTGATAGTAAAATAATACGTTAATCGTAAACGTTTTTAAATGAACATTTATTTATAAAAACAAAAGTTTGTCTTAAGACAACATTTTCTTCATTTTCAAATAAAACAAAGTAAAAATAAGACCTTTAGCTTTTACAGATACAGGAACAAGATAAAAAAGGGTGCCACTTCAGTCTAAACAGCAGCTAGGTTATGTTTACTTGGCCTTTTTCTTTGCACTGTGCAAAAACAGAATAGCATCTACTGTGCCTGGATTCGGGAGATTCCGCCTCGCCTCCTAAAAGCGGCTGCAGCACTGAATGAGCGTTCGTTCGCACCACGTGTTGTAAGAATGAACAAGATTCACCTCGCAAGGTGCTGCAGTCGTGGAAAAAGCGATCTTGTTTGTCCCAGAGCGAGAGCATATTTTCCTCTGATAACTCTTACTGAAACTTTGAACAGCAGGCTACTCTTGCACTTCATCCATTATTTTGGGCGTCTCACATGATCATTCTGCAAAGCCCACTCTGCTTTTTTGCTGGTCCACTGCCATGTCCTGCTACATCCATCCGCAACCGACCCGCAATTAATCATAATGTATGTTTTTATTACCCGACACGTGGATTATCTGCATCGCCCGCTGATATAACCGCAATCTGTGCATCACTAATGTACAAATTGTTTTGGTATTGATTTGACATTTTTGTATGAAGGTATTTTTGCGTCAATAAGGTTTACCTGATGTGCACACTTTTTAGCCTGGACATGCTTTCAATTTAATAATAACTGCAGCAACTTTCAAGCTGTCAAAAGGAAGTATTCAGTTAGTTTTTAATTTAACAGGCATATCATTTCATGATTTTTTTTTGCTTTACAAATTGATGCATGCATATAAAAGTTGTGGTATGTTTAGCATGTGAATTGGATTTTAATAAAAACTTTCCCTCTGTACAGTGTCGCCATGAAGTACACAGTGCTGTTGTTTCCAGTTTGCATTCTTGCGATGAATGTAGTGGTCCTATGTCAAGTAGAAAATGAACACTTTAACTTGCAAATGTAAGTATTTATGTCACCAATAATTAGCGTATAAATTTACGTGTCATATTTTTTAGTCTGTGTACTTCAGTACAATATGGATTTCTCATGTAATTTCTAGATATTTTTTTCTAGTTTTTTTCTTCTTCCATCAATTCACTATTTGAAAGCCATATCCATTTTTTCACATTTGTTGTTTTTAAGTAAATAAAAGATTATATTAATGAATAAATTAGTGTCAAATTAACATAACCTTACTAGGATTAAAGAAAATATTTTAATTTTAAGATAAATTAAATTCAGTCTTATAACATGCATTAATTTTACAAAAAAACTACAAATTTAGCATAGTTGTATGTTGTCCTAAGTAAATTAAAATATTTTACAGCACAGCAAACACCATAAATTAAATAAAACACTTTTACAGGTGCTGGTCGTATAATTAGAATATCTTCAAGAATTTTAGTTATTTTATTCATTTCAATCAAGCTGTGAAACTTGTATAACGTATACATTCATTCCACACAGACTGATATATTTCAACTGTTTATTTCTTTTGATTTTGATGACAACTAAAAATGAGAAATGAAAAGTGTGTAAAAAGGTTAAGTATTGAAGACACCTGGTGCCACACTCTAATCAGCTAATTAACGCAAAACAGAGCTCACAGAGCACTTGGTCCAAACACATTAATAGAGAGGCGAAGTGAAGGAAAAGATGTGGTAAAACAAGAGTGTACAAGCAATAGGGATAACTGCACCCTGGAGAGAATTGTGAAACAAAGCTCATTCAAACATGTGGGGGAAATTCACAAAGAGTAGACTGCAGCTGGAGTCAATGCTTCAAGAACCACTACTCATAGATGTATGCAAGACATGGCTTTCAGCTGTCACATTGCTTGTGTCAAGCCACTCTTGAATAACAGACAGCATCAGAAGCATCTTGTCTGGTCTAAAGACTGGACTGATGCTGAGTGCTCCATACTTATGCTCTCTGATGAAAGTGCATTTGGCATTTTCTTTAGAAATCAGGGTCCTAGAGTCAGGAGGAAGAGCGGAGGGGCACACAATCCACAGGTGTTGCTTGAAGTCCAGTGTAAAGTTTCCACAGTCAGCGATGGTTTGGGGTGCCATGTCATCTGCTGGTGTTGCTCCACTGTTTTCTCTGAGGTCCAATGTCAACGCAGCTCTATACCAGGACGTTTGAGAGCACTTCATGCCTCCTGCTGCTGACCAACTTTATGGAGATGCAGATTTCAATTTCCAACAGGTACCTGTCCATGGCACCTGCACACAGTGCCAAAGCTACTAGTACCATCTTAAAATAAAAATCGCCTACCTTAACCCCATAGGAAATCTATGGGCTATTGTGAAGAGGAATATACGGTATGCCAGACCCAACAATGCAGAAAAGCTGAAGGTCACAATCAGAGCAACCTGAGCTCTCAGAAAACTTGAGCAGTGTTGAACACAGACTGATCCACTCCATGCCACTCTGCAGTCATTCATGCTAAAGCAGCCCACACTAAGCATTGACCGCTGTGCACGCTCACACTTTTCATCTTCATACTTTTCAGTTGGCAAAGATTTCTAAAAATCCTTTCTTTGTATTGGTCTGAAGTGATATTCTAATTTTCTGAGATGCTGCATTTGGGGTTTCCTTTAGTTATCATCAAAATCTAAATAAATAAAAACTTGAAATATATCAGTCTGTGTGGAATGAATGTATACATTATACAAGTTTCACAGCTTGAATGAAATTAATGAAATAAATCAACTAGTGATGCTCAAAATAATCGATTAACCGTTAACCGAAAGGCTGCGTTTGTGACCGATTAATGCTATCAGTTAAACGATTAAAAATATTATTTTATATATTTTTAGTTTGGCTGCATAAGGGGCCGATTGAATGCGCCTTTGCGTCAAGAGGGGCATCTTTTGCACGCGGCTCATCCCAGAGCAGCAGTTTATGTTGTCAAGACAACTACAGAGAACTTTTAAAGAGCTTGGTTTCCCCTGCATTCATTCTTCAATGGCGGGGACCAAAATGCATCCCTCCACGGCTACATTACCCTTTCAAAACATTCAGTCATTGTTGTTGTTTTTAATAGCGGATTATAATCGCACCAAAACGTATTAAAAGGTAAGTGAATTATAACAGCGTAAACTTTTCTGTAACTGTATAGTGCTGTGTGCTATCTGTTTAATCCTTTGGCGTTACGTGCTGACTGACTGACAGGTGCGCGATGCGTGAGGCCAGCAAACACGCAGAAGCTTTCAGTTAAGATGAACACAGTTTCTATAGTTATACTTTATTTATAGATAAAGTATGACTTTGTATATAATCAATCTATCTTGCTGGAGTTTAAAGCTGTTTCGCTTTACTTCAGGACGCATTAACACCGCTCTGAAGGTCTAATCGCTGTTTTAAGTTATCCAGAGCTGTATGAATGTAAAAATCTTGAATATCATAATATTATTAAATATTACAATTGTAACAACTCAGACAGCAACACTTATGCACAATCGATACCCAGCTGATTCAGTCGTTTCATAACATCACCGCGCTTCTTCTCTTCTTTTTTCCTTGTCAACATAAAGGCAGTGAGATGCGCCTTGTTTTTGGCCCCTTGTTCAACTGCAAGACATGCTTAACTTGCGGGACGACAACGTGTAACCCGTGCCTACAGACACATTTGCCAAAGAAGCAAAATGGAAGAAGAATATTGCTGTTTGATCGAGACGTGTTGATGCTTAACCAGCGCTGATGTTGACTGCGTAATAAATGCAACAAATAGGCTTTACCTTTTATTTGACAGCTTATAGAGTATATATGCACATTAATGCAATATCATATTTAAACAACAAAACTGTTTACAAAAAGTCAACATATGCGCGCTTTGTTGTTGTCTTTTTATCACGCAGCGCGCACTTGAACCGCGAGAGAGAGGAAACCATATAGCAAGACATAATCTTTAAAATAATGATTTCTATAAAAATGTAAAAGGTTTTGTGATTATAATAATAACAGCAAGGCATTAAATAAATGCATATTTTCCGTGGAGCAAGCAATTTGAGGAAGTCTGCGATTTTTATTTGACGAAAGAAAAAACATATGATTGGGAAAAAAACTGCATATGCCGGTTATTAAAAAGAATCAGTCAGTATTTTTGTTTTGTAATATGAATTAATTATTTAAGTGGAAATAATTTAGGGCAGTCCTATTTATTTTATTCATTTTATTTAGTTTATTCTGTTCTTCTGTGCTAAACACTACAGGTGCGTGAAAATGCTCTATTGTTATGTTCTATTATTAATATGCTGGCATGTTAAAATAAATCAGTATTTTAAAATGCAATATTTAATGTGTCAGACACAAAATAGACACGTCAATTTGTTTAATATAAAATTAATAGTAATCTAACCAGTTAACCGTTAATAACCGATTAATGAGTGGCGGATGTCGGTTAGCAAAATTAACCGAAATGAGCATGCCTAAAATCAACTTTTTGAAGATATTCCAATTAAATGACCAGCACCTGTATTTAGCTGAAGAAATACACCGGTTAGGCAGCACTAAGGAACTGCCCTCTTATTGAGTAGGATGCAGAAAGCTTGCACTCTGATTGTAAAATAAGTCTTTAGTTTTTTTTTTTTTTTTACAATGTCAGTAAAAATATGTATTTTTGTATATTTGTGTTTTTCTGTTGCAGACACCAAATCAAGGAAATAAAATTGATAAAATTATGGAGCACACTGAAGTGGATGCAGTCATGGAACATTTTAAAAGGACACCTCACCACAAAAGCAGAGCGTGATCAATGCAAGATAGCAGAAGACAAAGTTTTTTCCCTCTCCGCTGTCGCGACCCGCTTGCATGGCTTGGGATCGGTAGAGCTACACATCGATGAATTTGCTCTTCAGTGTTTGAACTCTCAGTAATGATTTAAATCACACTGAACTGAGCTAAACTGAACTGAACTTAAACACTAAAAACTGAACTACCCTGATCCAGTTACTATGACCATTTATGTAAAGCTGCTTTGACACCATTTACATTGTAAAAGCGCTATACAAATAAAGCTGAATTGAATTGAATTAAAAGAAGAATGTCATGTACACCAAGGATGGCATTACAGTAGGGCACAATGCCTTTTCCCCCCCTTAGTCCTTCCCCTTACCCCTACCCCTTGTTTTGCGCGTTCACGTCAAGGGGTAGGGCTGTCCCAATTCTCTTTAGCTTGAAGTCGTTGGGCTAAGAGGAAGGGGTGAATAGCCCTTTGAACAAAGATTTTTCAGGTCCACACTTGAAACCAAGGGGTAAAAAAATTTCCCACAATACACCTGCCACAGCTGCACCCAGAAGTAAGGAGAATTTTTCTTTATTTATTTATTTATTTTTATGACAAACAAACATTCAATATATTCATAACTACGTTCATGTTTTACTGTCATAGTTTTCTTTTTTAACGCTATAATTTGCAATCTATAATCCATAATAATCACTCCTTTGCAGCAGTCCCACAACATTCTGACACTTGATGACACTGGAATACCCTGCCAGAAAAGTCTAGTGCCTGTGATGAGCTGTTTACAGTGTCTGCTATAATGTTAGTGTGGTTTTCGTGTGTTTACATAGATGAATATGGCCACTGTGTGTATACAGTATATACAGTACAGTTACAATCTTATTGCCACATTAGATCATTATGATAACATGATGTGCCTTCAGTGATTTCCTCAAGATAAATATCAAAAAATAACACAACTGAAATAACTACAGCAGTCGCGATCATCTGATCTCATATGAAGCATAAAATCACGATGGCATATGCTGTCCCAATTCTTATGGGTACATCTGAAGCCCTTTCCTTTAACTTTTGGTTGTAGGGGCCAAGGGGAAGGGGTAGGGGTACAAAAATAGAATTGGGATTGGGCCTAAATCAGTTTTCATTTTTTGGTTGAACTTTAAGGGGCAGGACCCTTAAAAATGCTGTCATTAAGCTGTTTTTTTAA